TATGGTTATGTGATTGATTTTGTGTGATTGAGTTGTGTGTAGCTGTGTGGTTGAATTTGTGTAGCTGTGTGATTGATTTTGTGTGATTGAGTTGTGTGGTTGTATGAGTTGTGTAGCTGTGTGATTGATTTTGTGTGATTGAGTTGTGTAGCTGTGTGATTGCGTTGTATAATTTCATTGTGTGGTTGTGTAGTTTCATTGTATAGTTGTGAATCCCATCAAACAGCAAGGACCTCCTTCTGGAAGAGTGGTCTGCCCAAGTGCCCTGCCAGGTGTTCCGGGGGTGTCACTGGGGTGTCACTAGACTGTCAGGCCCAGAATTCACACAGCCCCCAGCCAAGCAATTAAGGCAGGAATCACAAAAGCGGAAATCCTCTAGGTTCTTCACTTCCTCAAAGCCACGTGAGTAGCCTTATCAGATCTGTGGCATTCAGCTCCTAATTCATCTGCGGCTGGCCTGACCCTCTTGGCAATGGCTAGGAGTGTGCCCAGGTTGTCACATGGCTGCTTCCTCAGGCATTCCAGCTGCGGGACCTCAGCCTGCAGGCTGGAGCATAGGCAAGTAGCTCCTTTCCTGCAGCGACCGCTGGAAAAAACAAAAACAAAAAACAAAACAGTGTTTCCTCCCTGAAAAACAGTGTTGACTGCTCCTGGGCACAGGCCCTCTTGGGGCCTGCCTTCCTGGGTCCCTGGATTCCAGGCTGGTTGTGTGTGTGTGTTCTAGGGGAGTCACTGAAGAACCTGCTGTTTGGGGTGGGAAGAGGACCCAGATTGGGGCTCAAAAATGATGGCCAAGTCCCCATTCCCTTTAAGAAGGGAAGGAGGTGACCTGCAACAAAGGTGTGTTTGGAAAGGATGACCGAGGCCTGCGGTGGGTGGACACTGTAATGACAGGTCCTGCAGGCTGAGTCACCTAACACACCCACCTGTGTTCACGTGCCGGCCTGTGAGCTGGCTTCTGGTAAACTCACCAGCACTCTGCCGGCCACCCTGGTGAAGCCCTGGTGGGGTAGTCTGTCTGCTCCCGAGTCCCGCTGCCAGCAGGCCTTCGGAGAACAGGTACCGCAGGTGGGAGCTTGAGGAATGAATACTGTTGTCTACACTGAGCCAGGCTTGGGCAGCGGGCGGAGTTGCCCTTGTTGACATGCTTTCTCAGCCAGGGTGGAATTTATAACCGGGTGTTCCATCTGGTTGAGACTTGGGGAGGAGTCCGGCCGAACGACGCCCTGTCTGGGTCAGTTCTGAGCCTTTGGTGTGGGAGCAGAGTTCCGAAAGTACGGCAAGGCCCATTGCATGGCCCCAGCCTCCTCCTCCCCTTCCAGTGTTTTGTTTCCTTCAGCAGCTGTGTAGACATTCAGCCAGTTTCCGGGCCACATTATGGACATTAGTCACTTGCAGTTTAGTGTCAGTAAATTCATATGAGTCAGTGTATGCCTTTGTATGTTAATTTGGAACTAAATTATTATCTGTGTTGTTTGGGTATTGAAGGTGCCTGGGCAGGTGTAGGAGTCTGCATTTAGTCTCTTCCGGTCTTGGTCAGAATGGATGTTTTGGGAAATTTTGGATACTTTTGAGTATGTTTAAGAAAATCTATTGTTCCCAAGGGTTTCGTGCAGTAACTGTGCTGATACTCCAAAGAGCTTACCCAGGACAGTGAGAAAGGCTCTGGGGTTCGCCGGGACCCTGCATCCATGGAGGTGGTGTGCACCGTGGGGCTTGCTGAGGGCTGGACACCTGGAGCTTCTGCTGCCCAATCAGCGCAGCCCTGGGGGACCGAGGCCCGGAGCTGCTCCAGAATCCAGAGAGCAGCTGGCTGCTGGGTTGCAGCTGTCAGGATCGGGCTGGTTCACGCGGGGCGTCTGTGGTGCTTCAACGGAAAGTCACGCTTATCTAGGGATGCAGGGAAGTTGGCTGTGGCCTGGTCTGAGATAGTGCCCCATGCTGTTCCTTTCCTGGGGGTAGTAATGACTTCAAGGCAGAGAACAGGGTGCAAGTGGCTAAGAGTGCAACCCCCAAGTGGCATGAAAATGGCAATCCCCAGGGAACCGTGTGCCCTCAGGCCTGAATCCCTGTGAAGTGGTGAACCCAGTCTTAGCTGGGGAGCTCACTGTGGCCACGGATCTCACGGTCATGTCTGCCAGCCTATGGCCTTATGGCGACACAGGCACTCAGGACAATCAGCTTGTATAATCAGTGGCTGGGAACAGCTCACCCCCTGACCTGGGAACTTGACCCCCGCTCAGTGTGCTGTGAAGGTCACACAGAGAAGGCCTGCTGGCTTGGCTGGCTTAAAGGAGCCGCTTACGTCTTTGTGCCAGCAGACTGCTTGGGCTGCACACGTGTCTGCCCACGTGCCAGTCTCCAAACAGGGCTGGCTGCAGGAAAGCCGGCTGCTGTGTAACACATGCATTGACCGGGTCTCATGCCCTCGTCTTGGGACCCAGTTGGCTTCCTGTGACTGTGTGAGTCCAGGCATCCTCCTCCGAGATGGCTTCTCCTGGAAGCTCCAGGCTGCCTGGTAGAGGGGAAGCAGCTAGGGGAAGTGAGTGCAGGAAGAGACGCACCCTCCCCACGCTGTGCCTGCCCCCCCCCCCCCGCGTCCCCTCCTCCTGGACTTCTCAGTGCCCACCCACCCATTCCTTTGTGCACAGTTTGAACTGCCCCACCCACAGGGCCCCTTAGCGTTCGTTAAACGTTCATCCAGTGCTGCTTTTTTTTTTTTTTTTTTTTTGAGGCGGAACTTTTGTGTTCTGTGAGTTGTTTGGCAAGCCTTTGGTAACTCTTTCATCAGATAGCCATCAGCAGACACTGAACTGACTCCCCTCAACCCCCACCTCACAACCACTGCCCAATTTCCCCCTATGCGCGAGTGGTCAGCCCCTCCCTCCTCGCCCCTCCTCGCCCAGCCCTGGCACCCAGCAGCCTTGTTTGCTTTGCCATCGTGAGAGCATCTCATGTGTGGGAGGCAGGTGTGCAGCCTTTTGACTGGCTTCTTTCACACCATAGCCTGAGGTTCCTCTCTGTGTGTGTGTGTGTCTGTCCCCGTGTGTCTGTGGTACATTGCTCTCGGTTGCTGTGTATCTGTGGATTTGTGCCAGTGCCCCTACAGGAGCCTGTTGCTCAGTGTCTGGCTATTGTTCCGTCTCCATGCAGATAGCTGGGCTCCACTAGGGCAGGCCTGTGCCATGCCAGCCTCTGTATTCCCAGGCTGCACCTGGCGGGTACCTGACATGATGCAATGCTGGGCCAGCTTGCTGTTCCTGCTTCCTGCCCTGCCGGGACTGAAGCTCTGTGCCAGCCACTGAGTGAGCCTGGGTTCTGGTTCACTCTAGGGCCTTGCCTAGTCTTGGTTCAGCAGGTCATCGGGAGGCACTGCCAGGTATAGACAGGCAGGCTTCTCAGTAAACCACTCCTACCTCCCAGGCTGGTGTCCATGAGAAGCAGGTGCCAGTAAGTGTTCAGGGGCTTTAAGGGGGTTCTCTGCTGTTGAGGGTCAGTGTGACGAATTGCTAGGGTGAGTGTGTATGTGTGTGGTTATGGCTTTGTGCCTGGGTGTTATTTTCCCACCCAGGCAGGAGAAGCTGCCCTGGGCCTTGTTTTCACTGAGTCACGGCTGTCCTGCAGGCTGGTTAAAAATAGGCGTTCTCAGCATCCACGCCACGCTGCCATAACAGGCCCTCTTCACCCCTGTGGATACTGGAATGTTCCAGTCAGACCTTCCTCGCCCACTGCGGCTGCTAGAATGCTCCAGTGGGTGTTTAGAGGACCCTTCGGGCAGGCAGGTGGGTGGGCAGGCTCCTAGCGTGGTAAGCAGAAGGCAGCAGTGCTAGCAACTCTCAGGGTGGCATTGGAGTTCAAGGTGGCACCTGAGAGCCGGTGGGAGGGGCTGCCCACTGTCAGTGGGGATGACGGCTCAGCCCAGTGCGTCAGCTGCCCTAGGTGGGAAAGCCACCAGGTTGGACATCAGACTAACCAGGGTGGAGGCAGTTCTGTTCCTGCCTGGCCCAGGTTCTTAGCCTATGGGACTCTTCTGAGTGTTATGTGCTGGTCTGTATCCAGGGGCAATGCCATCCACTCCTCGGGGTGAGTGTGTATAGAGCACACGCCAGGGCCCAGCACACAGGCCCTCATGTCACAGCGGCTGCTTTTGCCAGCGGATATGACAGCCTGGCGGTGGGCAGCTAAGGGTGGAAGCAGAATTCTGGGAGCACAAGGAATGTCCCAGCCCAATCCAGCCCCCTTCCCTGAGCGCTCGTAGCACCTCACCCCCATTGGTCTGTAGCCACCTCTGTGTCCTTAAATCACACCAGCAGCTGCTCAAGGGGCTGCTAAGTCAGGACTCAGCAGCAGGAGTAGATTGTAACTGAGCTTAAAATAGAGGCCCATCCCCTGTTTAGAAGAGGGTGGCAGGCCAAGTGACATCTGTACCCCCAGGCTGAGGCTGGCTCTGGGCAGCTAAGACCAGGGGCTGCTCCCCTTGCTAGGCCAGCCAGGCTCTTCTTGGTCCAGAAGCCCTGAGGGTATGTGCCCTTGGCCTCTGGCCCTGCAGTGCTACTGGCCCAGGCGTTCCTGGGGAAGTGAGGTGAGGTGGAGGGGCAGTCCTGTGTGGGCAAGGTGGGGTCTGACGGGAGGGCGGCTAGGAATCTGGCACACTCTAGCCTTGGCTCTGAAGGGTGGACGGAGCCGCTAGAGGCTTTGCTAAGACTGGACAGTGGCAGTCCAAGAGGTAGAATTGGGGCGGCTCTAACATAATAGGCTGTGCTGGTGGGCTGAGGCTGTTTCTCATGAAGCCCCAAAGCAGGCCAGTGAGAATGAATGTGTGAGATTCTGTGTGTGAGTATCTCGGAGGCTGTGGAGATTGCCCCAAGGGAAAGTCCACCCAGAAAGATGAAACCCTCCCGGCAGGGGGAGCTCCCAGGCAGGCACCCTTGTACCCAGAGCAGAGTTTTGGCACTGAGTAACTGTGCTCCCATGGTTCTTCCCTGACTTCTCCCATGCAGGTGTCACCATGGAATCTGACCGCCACTGACCACCACACAGCCACCAAGGGCTGAAGTTCTAGGCCTTTCTGTAGACACAGACAGGAGGCACAGAGCCAAGGAAGGCGACCTCGCCATGGCTTCCTGCAGCGCCGAAGGCCAGCTCCAGAGGATCATCCGCGACCTGCAAGGTGTGGCAAGGGGGCTGGGCACGCCGGCTTGGCTTCCCAAACTGGTGGTAATTTGGCTGGCTTCAGTCGAAATGGCAGTCCTTTTGTCTTCACTCACCCTGCGAGTAACTGGAGCCCTCGGGACACAGCACATTAAAATATTTGGGGCTCAGATTTCCACCATCCCCTTCTTTTAGAGTGCAGTCAAGCCAGTTTGTAAACAGAATCAATTACGCAAGTCTGAACTAGATCAGATTTCAGTGTGCATGTTCCAGGCGCAGAAATGAGTCCGTGTGCACGTGTGCCATGCGTGGGGATGAGTGTGTGTGTACACGTAGGGGAGTTTCTTTGTGTACACATGTGGAGTGTGTGTGTACATGTACATACTATGAGTATGCTCATGTGCAGGTGTGGGGTAAGTATGTTCATATGCACATGTGTGGGTGTTCATGCGCACATGTGTATGAGTGCGGGTGAGTGTGTTCAAGCTGCCTCAGTTAAGTCTTTGACTCAGCCAAGCCTGTGGGCTGCACTAAAGCTGGCTGCTGTGGGGAGGGAGTATTTTCTGTTCCTCTGAGCAGGAAGGCCACATCCTTGTCTGCCTTGTTTTGGTTTCACTTGGCCCTAGATACAGGTATCCCATTGCCCACGATGCCAGCTCTGGGCCTTCCGCCCCTCCAGGTCCCGCCAGCATGATGTTGCCCGATAGTAGAGGCTGGGACGTAGAGCCCCATCTTGGAGAGAAAGGCAAGGTGGCAGAAGAGGCAGGGGAGTATATCTGACTCAGGAGAAGATGGCCTTCTCTGTCAGCTGCTGGTTCCAAGTTTACAATGATGGCCCACAGTCAAAACTCCAGGCAGATTTTCCACCCTTTCTGTCACCAGTGCCGATGTTGTCAGCCTCTCGGAGGCTCCACAGGTCCCCGACTGTTCAGCCTGCACGCAGTGTTCTGTCACAACAGGACCATCAGCCTTGGGCAGCCATGCAGTCTTCCTTCTAAACGTCCAAAGTGAACAAGTTACAAATCACTACAGCAGGCATGCTGTCACCTGTTTGTCACATGTTGAGACCCTGATAGCTAATGATTAGCTGCTATTTAGTGGGCACCAGGTGCTGACCTCCCCATGTCTTACAGATAGTGACGGAGTCTCTGTGTTTGATCCTGTGGGAAAGGTGCCATTGGCATTCCCACTTTGGCAGATGAGGAAACGAGCACAGAGACATTAAGTAGCTTGCCCAGGTTCACACAGTGGCAGTGAGGCAGAAGCAGAGTCCTGATTTCCCTGCTTCTTCCGTACACTTTGAAGTCAAGCAGCTGTGGTCTCTGTTTCTTGCCCCACTTTCATATACAGATTTATTTATTTTTATTGGAAAGTCAGATTTACAGAAAGATCTTTATCCATTGGTTCACTCCCCAAGTGGCTGCAAAAGCTAGAGCTCAGCCAATCCGAAGCCAAGAACCTGGAGCCTCTTCCAGGTCTCCCACATGGGTGCAGAGTCTCAAAGCTTTAGACCATCCTCGACTGCTTTCCCAGGCACAAGCAGGGAGCTGGATGGGAAGTGAGGCTGCCAGGATTAGAACCGGCGCCCTTATGGAGTTCCAGCAGGTGCAAGGCGAGGAGCTGAAAAGGTCCTGGCTCACGGCCAGGGGCTCCTTTGAGACTGTCAGGAGCACCCAGGTCAGGTTGAGGGTGTCTAGCCTGTAGAGGAACAGTGAGTGTTGAGCGCTGTGCCTTCCCCAAGCATCCCCTGCCTCCTGCCCAGGGCCAGGCATGGCAGAGGGTCCTTGGGGCACACATCAGAGTCCATCGCACAGGCCCATCTTTGCTGTTGGCTGACTTCCCCTGGGGGTGGGGGGTGGTGGAGGCGAGAGAAGTATGTGTTGACTAAGCACTCAGCCTCAGTGATGGGCAGGTGTGTTTCATGGAACCTGGGGCTTCTTTCCTTTGATGATCAAATTGTGTCCAGTGTGTCCCAACCCTCTCAACCGGGCAGGTGAGTCCCAGGATTCAGACTTACTGCAGTTCTGAGACACAGCATAGGCAAAGGTGGCAGTCCTGTGGCTCCCATCCTTTTCTGTACTGGGATGTAAATTGTCCCAGTCTCGAAGATGCAGGCCCAGCCCCAGCTATTTCGAACATCTGGAGAGTGAACCCAAGGGCAAATCTTTCTCTCTGCCTCTCTCTCTCTCTCTGCATCTTTCTGCTGGCCAAATAAAATTAGTTTAACTACTTTCTTGAAAAAAAAAAAATTAAACGTCAGTGCTGGTCTCTTGCACCATGTTATAAAGCAGAAGACCCTCACCAGAGGCCAACTAAATGGGGCTGCCCAGTGTTGGACTCTGAGCCTCTGAAACTGTGACCTAAACCAACCTGTAGTGTGTGTAGTCTCAGGTATTTTGTTATAGCCACACAGAATGGACTGAGACAGCAGGAATATGAAATATCCACTTACAAGATAAAGCTTTCTCGAGGTCAGTAGTAGGGGACTGAATGATTCATGCACCCAGAAAGCTGCATGCCCATGCCATGGTGATGGGCAGAAACAGGTGAAGAATACATATGCCTAGTCAGTGTCTTGGGCTTCGCATGTCTGGACACACTCCAACTCAGGAATGGTACCCTAAGGATACTGATGTGACCTGTACATTTCTGTGGTACTTTGTCATCACCATCACTCCCTCCTCTTCCTGCTGCTGCTCTGTCTTCACCCAGCATCTCCCTGGACACATGTTCCTATGCGTTGTCTTCCAGATGCCGTGATGGAGCTAAGCAATGAATTTAAAGACACGGGGGAGCCCATCACTGACGACAGCAGCAGTTTGCACAAGTTCTCCTATAAGCTCGAGTATCTCTTGCAGGTGAGTGACACCTGCCCCGTGCTCCTTGTCCTACTGTTGTCTCTTGCATCTGAGTCTATTCCTTATTCATCAGTGAGCCGTTGAGTCAGGATCCCTGGAGCCAGCCCAGGGAAGTTTTCCCTTAGCATATTTGGGGTGTGACCCACATGCCTTCTTGCTTTAAGAGGCATTGGTCTAGAGAACTCTGCAAACGTGGAGAAACACAGACAGCTAAGATAGACAGGAAGGAAGAGGGCCAAAAGTTTATTTTAGGCTGGTGGTATTAGCTCTTGTTCCCCAAACCCTTTTCCTCCACTCCCCTCCCCTCTTTTTTTTTTATTTCTGGACAAGGTGCCCTAACAATGTGTGTCAAGTTGGTTTCCATAATCGAGAAAAATGCCATGGAGTGTTGCCATGAGTCAAAGCTGTCTGTGTACTCGTGTCATCCTGAACACTCCTATCCCACACATCCCATCACAGCGTATGAGATGTCAGCCCACTGCAGAGTAGGTCCCAGCACGTTGAAGTGCATGAGTTTGCTGTGCCTTTCCAACTGATTGTTTAACTATACAGAAATGTTTATGAACTTTTATCCCACCCCCAACTCCATTAATCCCATCTTGGTGTTGGACTTGAAATGACTCAATCCTGATATTTCTTTGAATTTGTTGTATGTGCTTTAAAGCAATAGTGAAGCCAGCATTGAGTAACTGGTTTCCAGGGGTGTAGCACTGTTTAAGCCAAAACACCTGTGGTACCCACATCCCACATCACGGTGCTTGGGTTCAAGGCCTGGCTCCACTCTCCCAGCTTCCTGTTGGTGCACACCCTGGGAGGCAGCATCGATGGCTCAGGTGCTTGGATCACTGCCACTTATGTGGGAGACCTGGATTGAATTCCTGGCTCCTGCCTAGCCCAGCCTGGCTGTTGGAGGTAGTTGGAGAATGAACCAACGGAACAGAGATGTCTCTGTCAGTCTTTCTCCCTTTGTCTTTCTGCATTTCAAATACATAAGAATAACTTGCTATCTTAGAGTTTCGTAACTGGGATGAAGTGTCATTGCCTCATTTCCCTGAGTGGGGGCAGAGTTAACATCCTCGCCTTGCCCCTTAGACTCCTCCCTTGTGTTGATAGTGATCTTGGTGGTTGTCCACCCAGCTCCACACAGAGGTTCCTTCAGGGGTAGGCCTTCCTGGGTAGCTCTTATTCCCAAATCTCACTACTCCTATGACCCTGAGCCAGTTCCTTAAGCTCTCCTAGCCTCAGTTTCCTCGTTTATGAATTGAGAAAAAAAAAGTCTCATTTGGAGATAAGCATAACTTGATTTGCTAGTAAATAATAATAATACCAGTAATTTTGGTCTCACCTAGTACCAGCACCTAAGAATAAGAATCTGTTGTTATCACCTAACCATTTACAATGATGGGATTAATAGTGATTGGCTTGCACCTCTTCCTCTGCTCCTTTCTGCTCCCAGTTTGATCAGAAAGAGAAGGCCAGCCTCCTGGGCAACAAGAAGGACTATTGGGACTACTTCTGTGCCTGCCTGGCCAAGGTGAAAGGAGCCAATGACGGGATCCGATTCGTCAAATCCATCTCAGAGGTGAGTGGATGGCAGCAGCTGGGACCATGTGTTCTCCTCCACCTGCCTTCAGTGACTGTGCTGTGGGTAGCAGTGAGGCAGCAGGTGCTTCAGTGGGTTAAGAAGGAAGTTTTCTGTGTACTTGGCATCCACAGTTGCTGTGGCTCCAATTCAGGGAATCCAGCCATCTATCCCGGAGTGCAACAAACTGAAGAACACTTAATCTCGGATGGACTTTAGACCACAGCCCCTGCATTCCTTCACAGGCCTGCCTATTCGCACTAGACTCTGCTCATGGCATCCCTTAGAGGTGAAGAGCACAGGATTCCTCTTTTCCAGGTTATTTTCTTAGATGAAATTCTGAACTGTTTGCTAGCCTACAGTTTCCCTACAAATTGCTCAAGAAACTTGGAAATGAAATTGTTATAGAATCTCCAGTGATATTTCTTAAAATACTGGTATACTAAGCAAACTTCCATGTGAAGTTCTGAAAGCAGAGTGCTGTGGCCAGAACTCCGGAACTCCAGAACAGCAGTTATGCATGCATGTATACACACACACACACACACACACACACACACACACAGAATCTGTTCTATCCTCGGCCCCATGGCATTCTCTCCCTATCTGTGCTCAGCATAGCCCGTGCAGGAAGGAAGAGCTTGACACATCCAGGAGCAAGTCAGCCCATAGACTCAGGGCACAGTGTTCAAAGGGCTTGTACATGTCATAGGTCTTCGCAGTGTCTCTTCAGTGAGCGTGAGGTTACTGAAATGGACACACATGCTCCTTGACTGGCTTCCTGCAAAGGCCATGACATCAGGTGCTCCAGGAAGAGCCCCTCCCCGGCCATGCTGGTGGGAGCCCATGTGTCCCTTCCTACAGAGAATGGCAGTATGAAATATGCTATCATCAAGCTGCACTCTGAAATCTGAAACAACAGGGAGGGATCCTGGTTTTGAAGAGTTGTTGCAGTGTGGGCAGGTGCTGTGAGGTGTGGCCTGGTGGAATGCTCAGGTGTGGAGCGACGAACCTGCATCATCAGTCTAGAAAGGCTGTCACCACTCACCCCTCCCCTCTCAGTGCATCTGAGTGGCTCAGCCCACTCCTATCTCCCATTACTCAGCTGCCACATCCCTGCCACTAAGGCCTTCAGCTTTATTACTGGGGACAGCTGAATTCTGGAGACGAATGTAGTCCCTTGAGGCTGGGAGGTGCTTGCCGACACCCATCTGCTGCTTGGCAGGTTTCTTCTCTCCTGCCACAGGCCGACCTTCAGCCAGTTCAGACACGTGGAGTTAGAGAGCATTGTTTGTGGAGGCTGCCACAGGCTCTGCTTCCGTGCAGCTGTGTTCCTAGGGGCACCGTCGCTTAGGATGGTTTGGGACACCACTGGGCTGCTGGATCCTGGTTGGCATCAGTGACCTTTGTGTCTCCCGAGTCTTCCAGCTGGAGGGGAAGGTCAGTGAAAAGGAGGCATTTTGGGACCTGGCAGGTTCCATTGGAGTGTGAGGCAGCCATTCAGGCTGCTGTAGGGTAATGGTCTCATAAGCTGCTTCCAGAGGTTCAGAATGGGCCCCATCTGTCCTCTGCTCAAGCACCATGAGCAGGGGTCAGCTGGCCTCAGGCCTGTGGCCCAGTGGCCCCATGTGAAGCATGTGGTTGTCCCTGCAGGTTTCCTGTCCTGTGCTGCCATTGTGTCACTTCTCAGTCTCATGTATTTGGGTTCTGAGTAGTTGCTAATAGCATTAAGGAATTAGGTCATGAAAACAGACCCATCGTCTCAAGATAAAAATGCAAGGGCTATGCAGTGTTTTCCTTTGCAGTACAAAGGAACTGTTGTTCCCTTGATGAGGATGTTGAAAAATATGTTTTAAGAGGTTCCCTATATATATTATATGTATATATACACATATAAATGTATATATGTGTGTATGTGTGTATATATAATCCATTCATTTAATGAATCTGATAAAAAAAAAAAAGAGCCTGAGATGTTTACTGTTTTAAAAGTGTTAATGTTCGCAAGGCTGTTATGACAGCCAGATTGCTAAGAAAGATGGGTTCCTGCTTAGGGAACTTACGCACGTGGCCTGGGATATGAGGTTCTTATTGGATACAGCAGGGCCTGGGTAGGGAGCGTGTGTTAGTATGACAGACACACTTCCCAGTAATATGCTTCACTGCCCAAGTTCTCTCATCATCACCACTGAGCACCTTGTTCCCACTCCGCCCATCAGTGGAAAAGTTTCTGAACATGGGCTGTCATCAAGCTCCCCACCTTGGTCAAGATCAAAACTCAGGAAACTCACAGAAATGTCTTACAGCTTCTGTGGCCCATGAGGTTTCACACCTCTTTATTGTTTAAAACCACTTCATATTATGGTAGCACTTCCTTGTGTAAGCTGTAAGGAGACCTATAGCACTGGGCTAAAGGTGCTATCTGCTGCAGTGTTTATGCCCTCACTGAGGTGCCAATGCTTGAGGCTCTGCCACAGGCTTCCTGTGTTAATCCAGTGGCATAGTTGGGGTCTTAAAGCGTATGAGGCTTGTGGCTCATCTCTGGGTCAGAACACTGTCACCCTTCCCCTGCCACAGACACACATTAGCCATTCCTGGCCATCGAAGGGGTGGAGAAGGACTCTAGCTCATCTCACTGAGCCACCGCCTGAATAGGTGCCACCTGCATAGGTGCCTGCAGGTGTCTTCTGGGATTGTACCTCCTGGCCTGTCCATTTTGGCCACCATGTACTCCCAGGTGGCTTAGCTGTGCTTTAACAGATGAACCGGAGTCCATGGCTAGCTTACCCTGTCTCCATCACAGCAGGCTTCCAGAACCATCGCTTCTGATCATGCTGTGAGTGGTGACTTGGTGCCCAAGTCTGTCCCAGTCACATGTTTTTCCAATGCACTGGTCTTGAGCCATTGAGAGATTTGGAGGATGGGCCTGCACCTGGGCCTCCACTGTACACTTTTGAAACAGACCAGTTTCTGTCTCTGGTACCCCAGTGCCACTGGGCCTCCTAGAGTTCCTGCTGCTCTCACTCCCCCGGCAACTGGTGACTGATGCTGTCAGTGGTGTGTCTAAGGAGGCACCAGCCTGAGCTGGATGGTGTTAGTAGCTGTGTGGATTTTCCTGGTGGTTTCATGGAGACACAGAGGAGGTCCTGCCACACCCAGCAGAATTTCTTAGACCTTCCAAGCAAAGCCATTTAGTCTCCTTCCTCTGTTCTCCAACAACTTGAAAACAAGCCCAGCATCAGTCAGCCAAAGATCTTCCTCCTCAAACCCGTCCCTTCTTCCTATCAAAGAGTTTCAGATCTGAGTTTCAGCAATACTTCAAGAGCAGAAAAGCAAAAATGACACCCAGGAGCACCCACAGATGTCTGTGAGCCTGTCTGTGATGGATCTTTCTCCAGACCACTGGGGTCTGGAGGTTACCCTTGGACAGGGTCACCCCTTCCGCTCCTACCCACGCTGCAGGAGTGGCATTCATCAGACACTTTGTGTCCTGGGGTGGTACAAGTGAAACCACTGTGTTGGGGTAGAGCAGGGTGACAGGCTCTGCCCTGTAGCTGGTTTTTGCAAGTCATGTTAGGGGATGGTCTGCATTTTCATGTAGGCTGTTGACTCTTCGTCTTGATAATCTGCGTCTTCCAGCTCCGGACCTCTCTAGGGAAAGGACGAGCATTTCTTCGCTACTCCTTGGTGCACCAGAGGTTGGCAGATACCTTGCAGCAGTGCTTCATGAACACCAAAGTGACAAGGTAAACACGTAATGCTGCTGGGTTGAGTCCTATGCCACCAGGAAGCCATGTCAAGTCCCTCCTTAACACCAGTAACACCTGTGGTGTCAGCACAGTGTGTCCTTAGCTTCCTGCCATGGCCTTTGACACACAGGGTGGGTAGCTGGTGCTGATGGACAGGTTGCAGCATTGGGCTCTTCCAGAATCATCCTAGGGTGTTCAACACCACTGAACCAGGGATGAAATAGCCAAGGTATGGCTTACCAGGCCTAGGCTCCTGGAGACTGCAGTGTACAGCAGGATAAACCAGCTGTGAGTGCTCAGTCAGGGTCATCTGCCCACTCACCTCTGTGTTGTTGGTACAGAGGTTTGGCAGGGATCGGAGTGCAGAGGAGAGTGGGTGTCAGATGCAGAGCTGCACATCAGAGTGCTCTCGCAGGAGTGGACAAACATTTGACTGCCCAGGGCTGGTGGATATTCGTAACATCGCTTGTGGACCATACAAAATGACCAACTCGAAAATTAGCCTGCCACAAATTGACTGACTTTTCCAAGTTGACATGTTTTATGTTTTTCTGCAGTGACTGGTACTATGCCAGAAGCCCTTTTCTGAAGCCAAAGCTGAGCTCGGACATCGTGGGCCAACTCTATGAGCTAACCGAAGTTCAGTTTGACCTAGCATCGAGGGGCTACGACTTGGATGCTGCCTGGCCAACATTTGCCAGGTATCTTAAGGAATCCATTGATTTAAAAGTCAGAGAGAGAAAGAGAGAGATTTGAAATTTTTGCTTGCTCAGTTACAAACAGCTGTGCAGCTCTTAGGCTGCGATTTTTTGCAGATTTGGCTTAAGATAACATCTGAGGGCTACAGTTCAAAACCAGACAGTTGGTCAGAAGGTATGAGTCTGTGGGTGTGCATGTTGTTGTAAGACTCAAGGTTTGAAAGCGTTCTAAGGTACTTGCTGGTCCTTTTGGAAGTACGGGAGGGGCCTGTGGGCTTTGCCCCATTGTGGTTCCTGCAGTTATTCAAGAGGCCTTCCAGGTAGCACAAAAGGGCACAAACCCACTATGGCTCAACCCTGGAAAGGTTGCTGTCTTTTTGTTTCTTCTTTTTGCTGTGTGGAGCAATCTAGCCAGCCATGGTTACCTTACCAACAGTGTGGCCTCATATACCATCATACAGCACTCTGTTCCTGTAGGGCAAGGCTGAGTGAACAGGCTCAGAGTGGAGGGACTTGCCCAGGGTTACAGCTGGTGGGATGCAAGTGGTTAAGCTCAAGGCTAGTATTCTTAAAAAAAAAAAAAAAAAAAAAAAGATTGATTTATTTTTGTTGGAAAGTCAGATGTACAGAGAGGAAGAGAGGTAGTGAGGAAGGTCGTCCATCTGCTGATTCACTCCCCAAGTGACCGCAACAGCCAGAGCTGAGCCAATCTGAAGCCAGGAGCCTCTTCCAGGTCTCTCATGCCAGTGCAGGGTCCCAAGGGTTTGGGCTGTTCTTGACTGCTTTCCCAGGCCACAAGCAGGGAGCTGGATAGAAAACGGGGCTGCTGGGATTAGAACTGGAGCCTATATGGGATCACAGTGCATGCAAGACAAGGACTTTAGCTGCTAGGCCCACGGCCAGTATTTTTTAGAAAAAGAAAAGGTTTTTGAAAGGTAGAGAGAAAGCCAGAGTCAGATAGAGATCTTCCCTCTGCTGCGACAGCTGGGGCTGGGTGGGGCCAAAGTCGGAGCCCGGAATGCAGTCTAGGCCTCCCAGGCTGGTGCTGGGGACTCATCGCTGCTGCCTCCGAGGTAGACAGGCTGTGCGGAAAGTCAAGCTGAGACTTAGACCTGGCACTCCACGATGAGATGTGCGCATCCCAAGTGGTGTCTCAACTGCTTCATCCAACACCCAAGTCTGGCATTCTGTGCGTTTCATTGTTCTCTGTTTATACAGTAACTGTACCACCTATACCACAGCACCCACCCTGAGGTCGACATTTGGCAAAATATAGACTGGTTGTTTTGTAAACTCTTCTTTGGCTTTAGTTGGCATTTCTTCACTCTTGGAGTTTAATTAAAATCAAAACAGGGACATATCAAACAAACAAAACAACAAAATATTTTTCTGACTATCACTTTTTGAGTCAAAGCATCCCCCAAACATTGGAGATCCAGCTTATTCCTAAGACATCAGCCATCACAATAGGTTTTCACTCTTTGAACTATTCGCATTTTGTAGCAGAAAACAGAACAAAGTCCCACATATTCCTTCCTCTGTTCTTCCTACAGTGTGTTCACAGACAGGGACATTCAGAGTTTCAAAGAAAAACAGCTTTCTTTCTTAGCCTGGGATCTGATCACTTAACAAGAGAGTTCAGGGCATCAGATCCAAGCGGAAATTCCCAGGACTTCTTTATTTATCTTCCTATGAGGGGATGGATGCATTCGTCTATGACGAGTGTCTCTGTCCTGGGGTTCCAGTGCCAGCCCGTGACCCCAGGAGACACAGGTGGCAAGGAGGGTGAATGAGAAAGCACAGGGCTGTCTACAGCCATACCACCCTGAACACACCCGATCTCGTCTGATCTTGGAAGCTAAGCAGGGTCGGGCCTAGTTAGTACTTGGATGGGAGAAAGCGCAGGGCAAGAACAAGGAATGGGTAGGCTTCCTGAACACCCCATCACAAGGCAGAATGGTCCAGTTTCACAAACGACAGACAGCAGACACACACACCTGAACTAGAGGAGGAAGGAGAAAAGTGGAGAATGGACTGGGGACATGGGATGGGACACAAAACAGCAGACTGGCCTGTCGACACTTCCCACCTTCCTAACACTGGAAGGCATTTAATTAAAAAGTTGCTGTTCAAAATTGTACTGAAAATATATTTAAAAATAGGTCTGTAGTATCTTAAAAATGAAAGGTTACCCCTCAAACGGGGGGGTAAGGTAACAGGTTTTATCAGATACCAACACTTGAGGTATCTTAGAAGTGGATTTGAAAAGTGGACTGTCAGAGAAGGAAAGAGAAGAAAGGGGAATCCAGAATAAAACAGGAAAGACAAGAAAACCGGGAGGAACACATTTTGAAGACCAGTCTCATCTACTCCAGCTGCCAAACAGAGCAGACCCACCAAGGGGAAGAACTCTTGTCTGTGAGCACCCAAGAGTTGGCTTTAAACTTGCCCGTATTATGAACAGCCAGCCAAGACATGTGACACAGTGCTCATGGGCCCTAAAGCAGCACCCACGGAGACTGGGCCCATCGACCACCCTGCGCTCTCCCAGGGACATCATTTGGTGTTACCTGGCATGGTACTACCAGCAGGCCTTATCCAGCAGAGGTGGCTGATGTGACTCCTTGTTTGGGATGGACCTGCTCCAGAAGTGTCATCAGCCTTTTTCTTATAAACCTCGCACCTGGTGTTCATTGAGAGTTCCTGCCTGACTCAGTTGTTGCCATCATGGTGACCAGGGTGGTTTACTAACATTATCAGCCCTCCAAGAGGAGCAGGTGGCATTCTACTCTAAAGATCTTTGCTCCTTCAGCTGTGTGTTCACCTATGTCAATAATGACTCATCAATGTTTGTTTTATTCATTGTCATTTATTTTGAACCTTAGGTTGTCCCAGTATTTGTGCAGTAAAGATAGTTCCTGGAAAACGTTTTTCTCTGAAACTATTCTAGTATTTATTTATTTGAGAGAGAGAGAGAGATTGATCTCTGGCCCACTGGGTTACTCTCCAAATGCCTTAAATAACCAAGACTGGCCTGGCAAAAAGAAGGATCCTGGAACTCAATCCAGGATGTCTCACATGAGTGACAGGAACTCAACTCCTTGAGCTATCAGATTTGGCTTCTGGGGTCTGCATTAGCAGGAAGCTGGAGTCAGGAGCCATAGCTGGGCACCAAGCTCAGACACTCTGCTATGAGACGTGGGTATCTTAACTTCTAGGCCGAATGCTCATCCCTGATATTAAAAAAAAAAAAAAAGAAAGAAAGAAAAAGAAAAGAAAAGCTAGGTCCAGCCAAAGTCCCAGCCAACTGCCTCCCCATACCCTTTTACCCTCCAGCAACAATCGTCCCTATACTTAATGCATATCATGCCCAGATGTTTTTTTGTTTCTGCCACATGTATACTCTAAATATGTGATAGTTTTACTTTGCATGTTCTTTTGTAAACTGACATGCATGGACTCATGAGCTTGTTATCCTTTTGCAACTTTTCTCATTCTGCACTGTAAGTTTGCTAAGTGGAGGTCTGTGCGTGTAGAGCTGGGGTCAATAAGCCCCTGCCCACAGGCTCCCTGGAACACATCCTTACATGTTTACATGGTGTCACAGCTGCTTTTATGCCATGTGATAGACACCACATAGCCCACAAACCCTAAATGCTTACTGTCTGCTTCTTCACAAAACAAAGGCCGCCAGGCTTCGGTGGAGAATTTTCTGCTGTGTAAGTAAACCAGAGTCTGTCTCTCTGGTGACAGTCAGGCTCATTCCATTATTTCCACACTTACAGTGCTGCCAAGAGTACGCCCCCACTGATTCCTATACATATACACAGCCATCTGTCTGATAGACATAGCAGTTGGGCTGTGGAAGTGGGTGAGTTTGAACCTGCAGTAATGGAAAATGAAGGCCAAATGGACTTTGATCTGCAACGCTCCTACAGCAAGCTCCACCATCCTCCAGGCCTTCGTGCTTCTGGGCTGATGCTGCCCCATGAACTTCCTGCGCTTCTGTCAGTGTGGTTCCAGGAACTAGAGGGGGGACCTCTAGCCAGATCACAAATTGATGTAAACCAGTAACTCTGGCCTCCCTAACAAAGTGAGACCTTTTTTTCTTTCCCCAAAAACTGATTGTCATTTATTCCTCACTGGCAGACAGCTTGTGGTAAGCACCAAAAAACTCAAGGAGAATTTAGACCAAAAATTGAAAAATACACATGGATGTTTATGTAATGCCTTTGTTGGCAGTGTGGGAAAGGCCGGGATGTCTTTCCTGGAGCAGGGAAGTCGTTCAGCCTGTCACAGACCAGCGGGGATGTGGTCTTAGATGGAGACTGTTGGTGTTTGACCTGTGTGTATGTATGCCTGCCGAGTGACCCCCAAGGCCTGTGTGTGTGTGTGTGTGTGTGTGTGTGTGTGTGTGTGTGGTGTGCATACCAGTGCACGTTTCCCACTCTGAGTACAGGTGTGTATGTTTCATGGCCCTACAGGAGAACATTGGCCCCGGGCTCACCTGCATTCCTATGGAAACCCCCTAGCCGAAGCTCCAGCATGAGCAGCCTAGTGAGCAACTACCTGCAGGTAACACCAGGGCGGCAGTCCCTCTCCTGCTGGGGCTCCCCCGTTCACTAGGGCATGGCCTTGCCCCTACCCCCCATCCCTCAGCCACTCAGGACACCTGCTGTTCTGGCCAAGGGAGTCCAACTGAGCCCCTGGTTTTTGGAATCTTTAAGTTTTTACAGCCAGATAGAATATAGGCATTTTAAACACTCAATTCTTTTTGGAAAATGTTAGGATGTTTTGAAAAAAGTACCCGAGTGCTATGGTTAAAAGTGACAGAGCTAAATCCTGACTGTCACCTACCCTGTGTGACCAAGAACAAGTTACCTGAGCATGTGGGAGCCTCAGGCCTCCCACCCAGGAGCTGGGAATGATGAGTTTCCCAGCTCCTTGCTGAGGAGCCATGTGCACAGTGCTTCTGCACTCAGTTTAGACAATAAAGGAATGTTAGTGGTGTGGCGGTAGTTGGTATATGCTTTCATGAAATTTAAGGAACATTGAAAGGAAAGCAGTAATCTTATTCACCCTAGCTTGTGCTTTAGTCATTCCAGAACCATAGGTCTGTACCATGGATGACCATTGGCTTAAATAGAAGTGAATTTCTCTAAGAAGTTCCTGTCAGTGTACAGAGCTGATGAAGGCCAAATGGGCACCTGCACCTCAGTGGAGCTCACCCCACAGCCTCGTGGCTCAGGAGTGTGGCCCAAGCTTTGAGCAGTGGGGTTCTAATGCAGGAAGAGCTCTCTGGCCTCACCGTAGCTCAGGTCAGTCTTCTGTTCTTAGGCAATGCCAAAGCTTCCCCTAGTAGCCACACTGCTTTGTCCCAAAGCCCCTGTCTTCTGTGCCTCTCCCCAGAACCAGGAGATGGCCTCCAGCTTGGATCTGAACAGCACCATGAACAACGAGGGCCTGGAGGGCTTTGACGAGATGCGGCTGGAGCTGGACCAGCTGGAGGTGCGAGAGAAGCAGCTGCAGGAACGCATGCAGCAGCTGGACCAGGAGAACCAGGAGCTGCGGGCAACTGTTAACCTGCAGGGTGAACAACTGAAGATAGAGCGGGACAGGTGCCGCTCAGCAGCCGAGGACAACGTCCACCTCGCAGGCCTGGTGGCCGAGCTCCAGAAGCACTGGCAGGCCACCGAGGCCACCCAGAGCACCATGAAGGAGCTGCAGACATGCCTGCAGGCGCTGGAGCTGAGCACGGCTGCAAAGGAAGAGGACTACCACACAGCCCTGCAGCGGCTGGAGGCCATGCTGCTGCCCTTGGCACAGAAGCTTGAGGCTGCACAGAACTCCCTGAGCTGGAAGAACCAGCTGCTGGCCAGTGTCCCAGACCGCCTGGCCATGGCTGAGCAGAAGACAGAAGCCACAGTGGACACAAAGCAGCAGCAAGAGCCTGTTCCTAGCAACTCAGCCCTGATAATCCAAGAGCTGGAGGAGAAGCTTCGAGTTCTGGAAGGTGAGAGCAGCAAGGTCCAGGAGCTCAACAGGCAGCAGTCGGCCCAGCTGGAGCAACTGACCAGGGAGCTGCAGCTGAAGGAGGAGGCCCAGGCCAAGCTGGAGTGCCTGGCAAAGGAGCTGGCCCCGCTCCAAGAGGAGCTGAGTGCCAAGGGCCAGGAGGCAGCGCAGCTCCAGCATGAGCTACAGGCATCTGCAGCCCGAGTGAGCTCCCTGCAGAAGGAGCTGGCACAGGTGAGGCAGGAGGAGCAACAGCATCAAGAGGAGAAGGAGCTGCTGGAGCAGGAGGCAAGGTCTCTGGGCCGGCAGCTGCAGCTTCTAGAGACGAGGCTGACCCAGGTGAGCCTGCATGTGAGCGACCTAGAAGAGCAGAGGAAGCAGCTCATCCAGGACAAAGACCACCTCGTCCAAAAGGTTGGGACACTAGAGCAGCACATGGGACCACATGGGACCCTGACCCAGGCAGAGCTGCTGGACAGTGGCAAGGAACAAAGGGGCGACCAGAAGGAGGAGTTGTGGCAGGCCAACCATGAGCTAAACAAGGAACTGCAGGACGTGCTGGGGCGCAATCAGCTCCTGGAGGACAAGCTGCAGGCCCTGCAGGCTGATTACCAAGCACTGCAGCAGCAGGAGGCTGCCATCCACGGCTCCCTGGCCTCCTTGGAGGCCAAGCAGGCCAGCATCCAGCACATGGGGGACCAGATGGGGACAAGTCTGCTGGCTGTCAATAAGGTTATGGAGACCCAGGTGGCAGACAAGGACGTCGCCCTGCAGAGCAAGGAGGACAAGTGCCACCAGCTGCAGGAGAAGGTGGCACAGTGCCAGCAGCTGGCAGAGGATCGGGAGGAGGAGCTCAGAGCTCTGGAAAGTCAGTGCCACCAACAAACCCAGGTGATCCAGGCCTTCCAGGCAGAGAAAGACCAACAAGGACTTGGCCCACCCCATGACAATGCAGCCCGTGAACTGGCAGCCCAGCTGGCCCTGTCACAGGTGCAGCTGGAAATCCATCAGGCAGAGGCCCAGCGGCTCCAGGCTGAGGTGGTGGACCTCCAGGCCAAGGTGCGGACAGCCCTGGACGAACGGGACAAGGTGCAGAGCCAGCTGAGTGTGGCCGAGGCAGTCCTTGCAGAGCACAAGACCCTGGTGCAGCAGCTGAAGGAGCAAAACGAAGCCCTCAACAGGGCCCACATCCAGGAGCTACTGCAGTGTGCAGAGCGGGAGAGCATGCTGCAGAAGGAGAGGGCCCACATGGCCCAGCAGAGGGACGAGCTGGTCCAGGCCAAGTGCAGCTCCGAGGAAGCCCAGCTGCAGCACGCTGAGCTGCAGGAGCAGCTGCACCGGGCCAACACGGACACAGCGGAGCTCGGCATCCAGGTGTGCGCACTGACCGCCGAGAAGGAGCGGATGGAGGGGGCACTGGCACGTGCCACCCAGGAGCTCCTGGACACCAAAGAGGTGGCTTCAAGGGAGCGAGAGGACCTGGAGAGCCAAGTGGCAGGGCTGCAGCGAGAAAAGGAGAGCTTGCAGGAGAGGCTGAGAACAGCTGAGGAAGCAGCCGGCTCCCTGTCTAGCCTGCAGGCCCAGCTGGCCCAGGCTGAGCAGAGGGCCCAGCACCTCCAGGAGACTGCACAGCAGGAACGTGACGCCCTCAAGTTCCAGCTGAGCGCTGAAATCATGGACTACCAGAACAGGCTGAAGGTAAGCCTGCTTCAGCCTTCAGCCTCTATGCCTCTCCTTGGGGTGGGTTTGGTAGGCCCATAAGAAATTCCTGCAGCCACAAGATAGCTGGGAGCCTGAGGTTGTACAGGCCTGCCCCTACAGTCCTGCCCTGCCAGCACAGCTCCCCTGAATATCCTTCTGAAGATGGCGTTCAAGACCTGACACCTGAGTGGAGGAGGGAGGTGATGCCTTAGTCTGGAAGTCTCAACATGATGTCAGGACCTGGGGTGAAATTTGTAGCCCACACAATTGTTTTAATTGGGTAGTGGACACCTGAGGAGCTTATGAATTCTGTTTGGAGATTTCTTTTTGAAATCTCAGAAGATGTAAAAGCCTGTGGCCACATCCCTACATGACAGCAAGTCTGAGAGTGATGCCCACTTGAGGCACACAACCCCTGGTTCCTCAATGCACTCAGGTTCTGGCCGGCCCCTTGGTGCACAAAGACTGTCAGAGCCTAGAGGCTGCACTGGAGCATGCCAAGGGCTCACGGCTGCCCGAGTCCTCTCCCTGGCAAATCCCAGTGAATCTCTAGCCCCTCTGGGGCTGCCCCATGGCAGACACAGCATTTTTACAGCGCTCATGAGTCTACAAGGTCAACAGTTACCATGGTTACCATGTGTCTTTGGTCCTACATAAGAAAGTGTTCGGGTGGCAGAGAGTGAGGCTGTGGGCAGTTGGGACTGGGGCTTGCCTTCAGGTGCTGCCCCTGGCCCTCCACTCTTTGGCATGCCTATGACACCTTCCCTCCCCCACTCCCCAAGAAAGAAAAAGAAACCTCCTTGTGGTTCATGGACCACTTTTTTCCTACAGAGGCAAAACCACCATGTACTTTGTTACCAGCAAGCCTCAAGTTTGGTTGAAACTTCAAGTTTGTTGAAGAGTCCCAGAAAAAAAAAAAAAAGAGGGGCCCAAGAAGTCTCAGAGTTGAACCCCCACTTTGCTAGCCCCTTTCTTGTGCCCTCCAGGTGGCCAGCGAGGAGTGCAAGAGCCTCAGGGACCAGCTTGAGGAACGAAGCCAGCAGCTGCAGGACGCTGAGGAGGCTGTGAGCAAGCTGAAGGTAGGCCCTGCCCTGGTGTGCACTTATTGGGGTCGTGGTCTGGTTGTCCTGGGCCACTCATGAGAATGTCCGGAAAGGCGTACAGTTGCCGGCTAGAAAGTCGTCAGTTCACCTTTGTTAAGTTTGTCATGACTCCTCCCACTCACTGGATTCCTAGCTGAAGCTGCCCATGGCAGACAGGATGTAGGTGACCCGACTCTGTCATTTCCATTAGTGACCTGGGTGTGTGTGGGAGCAGGGATGATACAGCACCATCCTCAGGATTCTGGTTCTTGCCCCACCCCCTCCAACCATCACAACCAGTTAGGATTAATGCTTAGACATATGCCACACCCCCCAAATATGGAACAGAAGTTCTTGGTCTCTTGGATTTGAATGAGCCCTCGCTGTGGAAGTGACCCAACCCATGGGGTGGATAAACTCACTGTCACCTGACAGCATTTTGAGGTGGCTGCCACACACTGAGTCTGCTACTGATACCCTGTCCCAGGCCTCTCAAACAGACCTGGGAGAGAAGCTGAGCTGTACCAACACCCGCCTGTCAGAGTACCAGGCTGCCATGCTGAAGAAGGACAAGGAGGAGGCCACCCTGCGAGAAAACTTGGAGAGGTCGGTCACCAGGTTCCTTGCACAGCCCTCGGATAGCCAGGGGAGAGGGGTGTGGTTGGTGCAGCTGTTTGGAAAGCCAGTGCTTCCCGGGAGGACAAGCAAAGCCATGGTGGACTCAGTGTCCATGCCACATGGGCCCTGGAGATGCTGGCCAGGTGCCCCCCCTCCTGGGGCAGCCAGAGCACCTTCCTCTCAGCTCGGTTCTCTCAGCTGCGGCAGGGCACACTTCAAGTTAAGGTGGAATGATGGACGGCAAGCCCTCAGCTCGTGTTCTGAGTGTGGCAGGCACCATTTCAGATTCTGCCCTCCGTTTGCCCTTTAATCCTCCCATCACTGCCATGGCACGTGACTAGGTGCCCTCGTTTCAGAAGGGAGCAGAGAGAGTTTGCCAAGAACAGCAGTCAGCTGATCTCCATGCAGACTCCCTGGGCCTGCCTGGCGCTGTGGGCAGCAAATTGTGCTGCCACCCATCTCGCCATGTTTTCTTTAACCTTGCAGTGTGAGTCCCACAGTGCCAGCCCGGGGCTGTCCTTCCAGCCTCCAGGAGCTTCCTCCCCTTGAGGCTATGGGCCACATGGGTTGGGAACCCAAGGGTGCCATCTGGTGATCCAGTGTGGATTTGACGTTCACTCACCTGAAGTGTGTCTCCCCTCACCCGAGCCTCCCAGTGTTTCCATCACAGAACATCCTGGCTCAGTTGTTGCAGTGCATTAGGTAGAGGCAACTCCTAATTTGGTGGCATTTTCGAAATGTTAACACCAGTAATTACTTGTGACATCTCCAGGCACTTGTTTTGGCTGTCCAAAGTGGCACAACCTGTGCTGCACAGTATTGGATTTTGTATGATCTCTTTTGTCTGTGTAGTCCGTGGGATCCTTTTGGTGGGCAGTGTCTAGTAGTTCATCCTCCAGACACCTGCAGAGTGGACATGAGAGAGCACTCTGTGTGATGGTACTCTGGCAGACATCCAGTTAGAGCGTCTGGCTTTGTAGAGCGTCCTTGGGAACCACTGCTTTAGGGAGATAGCCGAGCTGGAAGTGGAGTGGTGGGGTCAGGAAGACTGCGGGATTCAGCCTTGCCCTCTACTGTAGCTGGACAGCTGCAACGGCTGCCATGACCCCTGTGCCTGGTGGATGGGGTCCTACAGATGCCCAGGAACCCTCAGTCCTGTGGCCACCTCCAGGAAGCTTTGCCTGTCCTGACTCCTTCACCCTGCTCCTTCCCCAACACCGGACTGTGAACTTCCCCCACCAGGTTCTCCCCATAACCACAGTCCCTGGCCAAGAGCCACAGTGTGCAACTTGACTCGCTTGGGGCACTCCCAGCAATCCGGGTTCAACCTGCCCTCTCCAAGAGCCCCTTGGGTGTATTTGTGGGTGCATGAGGAGACTCTAAAAGGCGAGAGGAATACCTCCCCTGTGAGCAGATAGCGCCAAGAGCTCCCTAGCCATGGGAAAGGAGGCCTGTGAGGGCAGCCACATTAGCAGCCAGATGAGCCCAGAGGTCACGGCTCATCAAGAAAATCTGCCACTGCTCCTCAGGACCCAAAAGGAACTTGAAAAAGCCACCACAAAGTTCCAAGAATATTACAGCAGACTGTGCCAAGAGGTGACAAACCGGGAGAAAAACGACCAGAAGATGCTTGCCGACCTGGACGACCTGAACCGGACCAAGAAGTACCTCGAGGAGCGGCTGATCGAGCTGCTCAGGTGAGCGCCTGGCCAGGCCGGCATGCATGTTGCCCCTTGGTTTTTGTTTGCAGCTCTTATGCATAAGGGTTTCAACTTGTGGCCAGGCACTTCATCAGTAACACCATTTAAGGAAACTGACTCATTCCTTGATACCATTAAATAACTAGTCAGTTTCTGGATTTGTCTGTGTTATATATATATTTTCTAGAGTTCTAATTAGGATCTCAATGAGATTCACACGTTGTGATTGGTGTTCTGTTAGTCCTTTGGCCTCCCACTGCCTCTTGAACACATATTTGTTCAAGAGCGTAGAAGGCTCCAGGAGGGCAGGGTGTTGTGGGTCCCTGGACCTGGCTGTCTGCAGGCTGACTGCGCACAGTCCAGCATGGTGGCATTCGCTGGCCTCTGCCTCAGGTGGCCGTGATCTGAGCGACATGTGACCCATCTGTGCCAGTCCTTCCTCCAGGGTGCTGTCCCATGTGTGCTGCCGTTGTACTAGGACTGGCAAGAGACACTCCATGTCACTGGGGAAATCAGCAGTCAGCCTTTTGAAATACAGTCATGGTGGGTCTGGCATTCTCTTGGCTTCTATCTTCATCTTCACATGTGGCCTTACCCAGGGACAAGGATGCCCTCTGGCAGAAATCAGACGCCCTGGAGTTCCAGCAGAAGCTCAATGCCGAGGAGCGCTGGCTCGGGGACACAGAGGTCAACCACTGCCACGACTGCAAGCGCGAGTTCAGCTGGATGGTACGGCGTCACCACTGCAGGTCAGCAGGCAGGCCCAGCCCCGGACACGCAGCTCTGACCGAGGGACCCAGGGGCTGGTGGGCACTGTGGCCAACTGGTGGGAGTGAGCACATTGCTTCTGGCTCTAAGGGAAGCAGATAGTATCTGGGGGCGTGGTATCAGAAGACAGTGGCAGCCGTGTCAGTGTCATGACCATGCCTCAGCCCCAAGGGCATGGCAGCTAATGGCATTATTGGAACACAGCGAGTGCTGAGCCCAAGACTTCCCTACAGGAATGGAGGACCCTCCAAGCCATTGAAGTTCAGTTGGGGAGGGGGCAGACAGAGAAGAGGCTAGGGCAGGGGTTTGTGGGAAGCCCGTGCAGGCCCATGCACATCTGTGGTCTCTGACCTCAGCCCCTGGGAGAGTGATGCATGCTTGCAATTGTGACAGCCATGCACACTGTCCCTGGTGACCTGAGGAAATAGAACATTCTCCCCCTAAACTTCCCAGATGACTCCCAAGATGGGCCAATGGCCCCACCTTACAAGAGGGATAAGAGCCAGGTGGGACAGGAGCCATGCGTGCAACATTCAGTGCTCAGCGTGGAGCCCAGGTCTGGTGCTGAGCCGCTGACATGAGCCCCACAGTGCATCATCCTCAGAGCCCGCACTTGTTCTTTCTGCAGGGTATGTGGCCGTATCTTCTGTTACTACTGCTGCAACAACTATGTCCTGATCAAGCCCAATGGCAAGAAGGAACGCTGCTGTCGTGCCTGCTTCCGGAAGCTCAATGAAGGTCCTGGCTCGCCAGAAAGCACCAGTTCTGGCACTAGCCAAGGGGAGTCCAGCCCTGCACTGTCCCCAGTGCACACCGGGACACAGGCCGTAGGAGGCCAAGGTCAGGCTATTCTGACTACCCACTGAGTCCTTTCAGTACCACCCCACCCATTGTGTCTGTCGCATCCAATTATCTCTAACATACTTAATTCAGTGTTTAACCAACAAGAAGTTACCGTGGCACTGAAACTGTAGTACCAGCACTCTGGGATATTCCTCTGAAGTCATGAGGATTGAAAGAGAATTGAATAAGCTTTCTCCTGATAGGGTTCACTGTGATTTAATGTGAAGTCTATGTACCTCTTCACCCACTCCACACTTTGGAAAATTGTGTTGACCACAACCTGAGCCCTAACCTTCTCCGTGTTTCCCAGAGTGGCCCAAGGCCAAGAGTTGTATCTGACGTCACCAGCTCGGTACTTGGAGCTCTCGTTCTCTCTCCCTGACCGATAATGGTGGGTTCTCCTACGTGTCTTTCCCTTCTCCAGCAACAGAAGGGAAGAAGGTTTGTCTCCTACCAGACAAGCCCAGGCTGTAAGCTGGCAACTAGAGGTAGCACCCATGCAAGGCAGAGCTGAGCTGGAGTGTAGACACACACTTCATCTCCTGGGTGCAGGCTCCTCTGCCATCTGCACTTGGCCTCTGGATGCCAGCCAGCCTTTAGAGACACCATCAGTTCTGTATCTTCTCCACCTCTTTTGCCCATTTATAAAAAAAGAAAAAAAAAATGTTGTGATTGAATTTTGAGAGTCCTCTATTGAGTCCAAATACAAGTTCTTTACAGAGATGCATTTTATAAACGTTTCTTCCCAACCTGTAGCTTGTCTTTTTCTTTGGAAGAACAGAGGTGTCTTTGATAAAGCAGAGTTTATCATTTTGATGAAGTTCAGTATATCAGTTATTTTTCTTTTGGTGTCATATCTAGCTTTGGTTAATCTTATAACTCAAAGATTTTATTTTCTCCTAGACACTTTATAGTCCTAGGTTATATTAAGTGTATGATTTGCTCCCCTCTCCATATGTAGTTGTGACTCCCAGATCCATTAATCTCTCCAAAATCCTCATTTTTGCACCGTTGTTGAGAATCAGTTGGCCTTCTATGTGTGTGTCTATACCTGGACTCTCTGTTCCATTCCCTTTGTGCCTATTCTTTCACTAACACTATACTGTTACAGTCACCATGTTTTACAAGCATGTTGAAATCAGGAAGAAACCACTGATTTTATCTTCTATCAAAGTATTAACTATTCTAAGTCCTTTGCTTTCCCATATAAATCTTAGAATCATTATGTCATTTCCTACCAAAAACTCCATGTGAACTTTTCATGACATTACAACGAATCTCTAGATGCGTTTAAGGAGTATTGGCCTTGTAAATAAAATCGATTCTTTCCATCCATGAACATGGGATAGCTTTCCACTTATTTAGGGTTTCTCTGATTTCTCTCAGTGGACATATTTTTGCATCCTTGTCACCACTTTCCTGGCCCCCTGCCAGCCCCAGAAAGCAGGTTTAGGAGTGTGGCTGAGTGTGTGGGAGTAAACCACTCCCTGGTCCCCTTTTCGGCCCTATGGCATAAGCCCTCCCTTACACAGGCTGGAGGCAGGAGGAGGACAGTCCCTGTAGAGCAGAGAGCATCCCAGTAGTAGTCGTGTGGCAGGGCAGTTGCCGTGTAGGATCTTCCCGCGTATGTTGCAGCGACAGCAGACTGGCACGGTGCCAGAGTGCTGAGACAGATTGGTTTTGTTTCTGATGTTTCCTGTCTGCTCATTGTTTTCTTTGTTTCTCTCTCTTTTCTATTTTCCTTTGCCTCAGATCTGCCCTCACATTTTCCATGACATATGCAAGAGACCATGTGTGGGTGGCTGGTACGGCAGCGTCCCTACAGTGGCCTTCCTATTGAGTAGCCTGTGCGGTCAAGCACAAGACCCCTGGTTGGGAGCCCGGGGCCTGCTGCAGCCTTGCAGCCTTGAGCAGGAGGACTGTAGCAATGGACTGGGGGGATGGCAGGTTGGACAGAAGCTGTCTGTCAGCCCCACCTGTGGCCCAGTGACATGGAAAGGATGTTTGCACTCTCGTTAGTATCTTCCCTGAAAAGGTTCAGTCATTTTTTTCCTTCTGAGTAGAGAACCTGAGACCATCACTGTAGAGTCTGCAGCCTCTGTAAGCCTCTGCCTTTGCATTCCGTTTCATCTATGGTCCCTCCTCTGATCATCTGCAATGTCCCAACAGCCAATCCTGTCACGTCTGGACAGAGAAGCTGTCAACTGAGTGACCCCTGAGCTCGCCCCACACACTGCACTCCTGACCCCTCTTCCTCTACCCCCTCCTGCTCTTCCACATACCAGTAGTGTCCCTGCTCTCTGATCTGCCTCTGCCCCCCACCCCAGGAGCCAGCACTGACTGCCAGCCTCCAGATGATGCTGTGTTCGACATCATCACGGATGAGGAGCTGTGCCAAATCCAGGAGTCCGGCTCATCTTTGCCCGAAACGCCCACTGAAATGGATTCTCTTGACCCCAGTGTGGCTGAACAGTGAGTAGCTGTCACCCCCATTCCCTGTGTGCCCACTGCAAGCCTGACTATGTGCTTCCTCATTGGAAAACCAGCAAAGTGAGAAGTCGGAGCAGGACTAGCTGTCTTGCTAAGAGAGGAAGGATGCCTTAGCAACAGCGCTCACTCGGGGTGGAGGAGCCCTGGAAAAGCCCTGTGTGGGGGGCAGGGTTTGTTTCGGTCTGTATCAGAGGGATTCTGAGGAGTGACCACAGTCCGCCAGTTTGAGCAGTCTTCAGGAAGGCCTGTGTATCTTGACCTGGGCGTTGGTGCTGGTTTACTCGACTTCACAGCCTGGGTGCCCTCAATCATAATGATGATCTCCTCACAGCTCAGGAGGCCAGGGCCAGGGTGCTCTCAGGGTCGCCACCCCACCATGTGTGTCTCAAGCATCTCCCTATATGTCCCAATCTTGTTCGATAAGGTACAATTCCCAAGGGGCCTCATTTTATTTCCATCTCTCCCTTAAAGGCCTCATCTCCCAGTTCGGGCACAGTTCGAGGTCCTAGAAGCTGGGAACTCACAACAACCTGTGAGTTGGGGGCAAGGGCACACAGTTCAGCCCGTGACAGCACCCCTTTGCCTGTGTCTTTGGCTGTTGCTCAGAGCAGCATGCTGCACCTGAAGGATCATGCTCCTAGACCCCCAGGCTCCTGCTCCTGCCCACCATACCACCTACCTACCATCAGGGGAGGAGGACAACATGGGACTGAGGCTATTGGAGCAGAACACACCCTGAGCTAGGCTTGTAAGCCCTGAGAAAGCTGTAGAGGGGCCAGTTCCCAGAAGGGAAGGAAAGGGAAGTGAGGAGAGGCAAAGTCAGTTCCTATTTTGGAGGTATTGTTCAGGCATGGTAATGGTGCGGTGGGGAGGGCAGTTGTCTTGGGTGGACACCTTCATTCCACAGACCTTGAGCTGGTGGTTCACCCACTAAAGTTACACAGCTCCAACAGGAACAAATCTAGAGGTGAGTCTGGTCCCCTCCATCCTAGGGAACCCAGGTGACTTGCCACCCCCAAGCCTGCCCTGTGCTCCATTGCTGGTGCCCTGAACTGCTCCTGACCAGTGGCCTGGGCCCACTGGACCTTCCTGGCTGCTGGGAGAAGGCTGTAGGCCCCAGAGGGACAGGAGCATTGGCCACTTGGGCATCCTTCAGTGCCCGTCCTCCCTCACCTTCCATTTTCCTGTAAGGTTTACAAGGAGAGTTGTGCCAAAGTTCTTCCTTTTTATTTGTTTTATTTATTTATAAGGAAAATGATAAAATTGAGAGAGAGCTTTCATCTGCTGGTTCACTCTCCAAAGGCCTGTGGTGGGAGTGGGACCAGGAGCTCCAACAATTTCTCCCATTTACATGGCAGGAACTCAAGCAGTTGAACCTTCAACTGCTGTGCTACCAAACACCCTCCATAAGAGCCAGTTTTTCAGAATGTGAAAGAAGCTGTACAGAGTTCTACCTTATTAAAGCATCACCTGTTTGGGCTGGGGACCCATAAGAACAGGCAGTTCTCACTGCTGGTGTTCAGCTTGATGCAGTCTCTATAGCTTCCTAGGGTCCAGCCTTTCCTCCCGGGAGGGTCTTGTTGGGTGCTGCCGCTGACTCATGGCAGTGACTTCTCCCTTCCTCTCCTCCTGCCTAGAGTCCTGAGGCGGGCTAGGGCTGAGCTGTCCTGCTGATCTGCAGAATTTCTGCCTCCTGGGAGGAGGTGTGCCTATTCTCCCTGGGCGGTCAATGAGGTTTCAGGCTTACCATTTCTGTCCCCTGAAGAGAGAGTGACCAACCTAGCCATGCTGTGGCCTCCTGGAGCTTCGTCACTGAACCTGAGACAGGCCCTTCCCACTCATTCTGTCATGGGCCTTTCCCTTTTTTTCTGGTACTTCTCCCTCTGCAGCCCTCCCTGGCCCTGTCAGCCTGGCATGTTCTCCCCAAACCCGCTTCCACCAGGTGCCCAGGCCTGCTCCACTCTATTATCCTGCCTCCCTTACCTGGCAGGCCATGTGGGGAGGTGACAGAGTGAGCAGGACCAGGAGCCCAGGGTTCTGGATTGGCATATGTGGCGTGGGGGTGCCTTGTCACCTCCTGTAACCTGCTTGAGAAGGTAGCTCCCTCCAACCCTTCTGCCCTCACCCCTCCCCTTCCCCTTTCCCAGTAGGAACAAAAACAGAAGGTGCTCTGACTGCTGACAAATATATGCGTTTGGGTCTTGGGAAATCAGGAACTGCTCCAGAGAAAGGAAACTGGCCCTGGCCTCTGAGGCGGATCTGGGACTGCCTGATGGCAACGTGGGTTGCCACACTTCACCTGGAAGGATTAGCACCCCATCTTCAGACACCCCTTTATCTGTTACCTTGGCTTAAACCCAACCGTACCCAGTAGCTTTTGCTTGCAGTCTTTTTCTGTGTTAACCAAACGCAGAAAACTAAGGAGTTTAGAAAAGCAGAAGTAGAGGCTGAGAGGATGAAGAGGGGACAAAGGGGCCTGGAATTGAGCCAGGAAAGAAAGTTCAGGACAGAAGTAAGCCCCTGCACAGCTGGCACTGATCCAAGAGGGGTAGATGCTGTTGGCGGTGGTGCTGTGGAGGGCAGTGCCAGCAGAGCACCTGCACAGCCCAGGGGCTTTTCCCTGTGACCTCACACAGCTCAGTATAGCCCTTCCAGGAGGACGGTGCTTGTCGAAGTCTTGACACACTGTCGTGAAGATCAGAACCAGCCATGGGGCTCATAGAACCTCTTGCCAGCCCAGGGAAGACTCTTCTCTTTTCTCTGAGCCAATGCCCCATTGCCTGGAACCTACCCATTCCCCCTGCTGCCAGGGTCCCACCTCTGCACACAGCCCGTGCATGGGGCCAAGGGAGCTGTCTTCTCCCTCCCTGACAGGCTGGGGCCTTGAGCCCCTTGGCCACTGCATGGCCTTCCCTTGATCATGGTTTCTTCAAGGCATGGCAGGCCCTTGGTGTCTGCCAGGTGCACAGGTTGTATACAATGAGGAGCTTGCAGTCCCAAGGGAATCATACTTGATTGGTCATACTTGATTGGTCACTACAGGCCCTGTGGTGCTGGACAGTGCTGCACTCTGAACTCAGACCCCACATAGGTCCAGCAGAGACCAGATCATCACCGCCAGCTGGGCTGGGAGACAGCTTACATGAGAGCTGCAGATGCGAGTACAGTAGAGCAAGTATAGTACTAAGTCAGGGGATGTGAGGCAGCACCATACCTGTCTGCTGCTGTGGGCCCAGCGCCATGCTCCCTGTAGCCATATCGCCATTTTGAAGGTATCTGGGTGGTGCTGAGTGAGTTTGAAGCTACCGCTCCTCACCCCCCCGACCATGCACACAGGTGGGTGCTTGCTCCAACAAGCTGTGCCGGAGTCCCCTCCAAGCAGCCAAGGCCTGGCATCCCAGAAGCAAAACAAGAACAGGATATGGTGATTATGGTTAATGCTAGAAAGCCACGTTGTGCTCGGGCTCACCCACAGTCTCTGGCTTCAGTTGAGTTCAGAGCTAGTGGGCACCATGTGGCCTGCCATTCGCATGACACCATGTGTGGGCAGAGAAGAAAGCAGTTTAGCAGGGCAGGAGCCCCAGCTCTGCCATGTGGGCTGTGGCAGGTTTTAGTCTGTGCACTGGCTTTCACATCTGACGGCCCCACACTCCTACAAAGCAGTGCAAATTCCCTGGGACCAGGAAAGTCATGGTGGGCCCAGCAGCTGACCTCCAAGGTTGCCCTGAGTGTGGCCAATGGAGCACACTGTCTGTGTCACCTACGCACCCAAAAGGGAGGGCTGTCATCAGCCAGTGGTGTGGGTGGTGACCTGGGGCCTTGGGGAAGCTGTCACTCTTGCCCAGAGGTACCCAGAGACAAGATGGGGGCAACTGAAGAGCCCCAAGGCCTCCTCCTGGCACCTCACACTGCTTCCTGTTCCGAGGTCACAGCTTAGTTTATTTCATTCCCAAGCGGCCTTCTGCCTCTAAGGCTGGGACATTGTCAGAGAAGCCAGGCAGTAGTGGCCCCAGATAAATGTGGAGGGGATGAGTGTGACAGAAGCCCCCTCGAGGCCAGGCAGAATGGAGTCAGTCAGCGTCAGCCCTGTCACCCTGTAGCAGGCAGATGCCATTGTTTGAGGAAGCCTGGAAGCTTTGGTGATCCCTGGGTCCTGAGCCCAACAAGACGAGGTCCCAGGGGGGTACATGCTGGCTCACTCATGGTGGGGGTGCCCAGGATTAGGGGCCCCATGCTCACCTGGCTTGGGGCACATGTGGCCTTCCGTGTCACTGTAGAAGGTGCTCAGCAAGCCCTCCCTCGCCTTACTGACCTGCAGGGCTGGCATAGAGGGCTCACATTTTGCTGTGCCATAACTGCCATTTTGGAGGCTCCATTATGCAGAGTGCCTGGTGCTCGGTATGCACATCTCAGGTCCTCCCCCACAGCAACCGTGAGAGGTGGGCACCACTTGGATCCATGTGACCCCAAAGAGAGAGGAAACAGCTGCTCAGAGCTCCAGAGCCTGGCCCCTGCAACTTCCCAGCTGGAGAGTAGCAGGGATCCCCTCCCAGTGTGGCCCACCCAACCCCCCAGACCATACCATTAAGCTTCTCTGGGCATTATGCTCGGCTCTTGTTGGTTGGTTCTCCCCAAGTGGGGGAACAATTTGGGGGTGCACAAAGCCACAGAGCATCTATAAAGCTTTGTGGGGGCTAATGAGCGTGCTGAAGTCACATTTAAAACAGCCCCTCATCCTGTGGCCCTGTTGCAGAGATCAGACAAGTACACCCCACACTGTGAGCCTGGAAACCACAGTGCAGGAGCTGGGTCATTACCGCCAAGGCGTTCCGCTTCCTGGGTAGACTGTTGGCCTGAAACTGCATGATCCAAACTCACTTCCTGTGTGCTCACCCGCGCCCCCCCCCCAGGCATGTCGTGGAGGAGAAGACAAATGAACACAAAGGCAGCGTAGAGACTTGTAAGCTTTTTTTTTTTTTTAA